TTGGTGCTCTTACGGAAATTCAGCTACACCCTATGTGACAGCAAAGAAGAAGAGGGAAAAGAGGGTTTTGTTACACTTTTCCTGTGAAGGCCATTTCCAATAAACAGGATCTGTAAGGCTATACTCTTTTACACATTAACAAAGGTAAATCATCTTGAAAGATTTAAAGGAGTATTTGTGTCCAGTGACATCTTGGTATACTCAAAAACGTAAGCCTGTCAATCCCTGCCTTCTGTAAGAGTAATCTCCAAGAAATATGTTTTGTCTCAAGCAGCACAGGCCAGATACACTTCTGGTTTAAAAGCAAATAATATGAGGTATCTAAAGCAACTTTCAACAATAACAATAACAAGGAAAAATAATCTGCTTTTTCACAGTGACACCAGCAGGACTCCTGCCACTGACTAAAATCTAAGGGTTGATACAATTTTAGGCAGTAAATTATGTGTAGTATTTTCCTAAGTCAAGGACAGCATTTTGGTTGGGGGCAGTAGAAATATCTGAGCAAACTGGCCACAACAACATGATCACTATTCATGTTTAGCACATGGGATGTCCTAATACTGTTTTGTGAGCACGGGTATTTGCTTTAAATATCTTGAATAAGGTCTGACCCAAAGCAACTCAACTCCTAAGGAAAATCTCAATGAGAATAATTTAGGTTTTACCTAAGACAGGCAAAGAAAAAAGAAATAAAACCTAGAACTATCAACATTTCTATATGTTCTAACTCACTAGAATTTTTAAAATTTAATAAAAAATGCTGATAAATATTCAGAAGGCTGCCTGAACTTTTCTAGAACAGAATAATACTAGTGTGAATTGAAGTTATACCAGTTGATGGATGAAACAATTGTCCTATCAGCCAAGTTTTTTCACATACTTTATGGTTCACTTAATGCTTCTTGGCGATGCAATGAAAAGCTGAAAAGTGAATGTGGTTAGAGTTTTACAGATGACTAATGTTTGTGTCTTTGATACTCTTCATTATTTTAGTGTGTAAGGTCACTGCCACCTCACAATATTTGCATGATAATTTATTTACAATAAATGTTTTTAAAGAAATATTGCCATAATTTGTTTCTTAAAATTCGAACTTCAAAATGTTTTCATATCTAATATAAAGTGTTTACTATGTTAACCAAATTAATAACAGAAAGATTATATCAATCACTAACCTGTAATTCCTTTGAAGTTACAGAGTATCTCTGATTTGCTAATGCTTTAAAAAATCATGAGTCAGAGAAAGGTTTTAAAAATGTCTGTGTACCTTTTCCACCCTGTGCTGATGATCATTAACTACTAACAGACAGTAACAAACTCTTGTAGCACATAATAACACCTGGCTACTCTGTCATGACCACTGCAAAAATTAAGGAAATATCTTTTCAAGGGCCGTAGTATTAGTTTTACCTGTGATAATTTCAAGGGGTGGAGTGAGTCATCCAGGCTGCAATACCAGATATGGTGGCCAAGACAGACCCACAAAGCTGATGTAGAGTGTTAAACCTATGTCAAGTGATGAACAGAGCATTACTGGATTGAGTGATCTCACTGGTAAGAAAGTTAAAGCTGTGGATTAGTTTCAATTCCAGGTGTCATTTCTTTGTTGTTACAGCAGTTGCTGTCCTCTGAGAAATCATCTGCTTCTAACATGTGTTATTCTGTTTTACCAGTAGAACACCAGAGGTGTACATGATACTACAGGCAAGCATGAGAAATGGACTGTGGCACAGGCAGCTATAGTTTAGATTTTAAACACAATATTGGGAGCGTACAATAGTGGCAAATGCAGGAAGAAGAGTTACATTTCATCAACAATGGGGCAGGCAACTGGACTGAGTTTTGGACTGGATCTCACTGCACATCATCCTCAGGCCTTATGTATTCTTCTTTAAGGTCTGTGAGCACTACAGAAGTAGTCTGTGATTCACACAACCTATGAGTGCAATGAGACAGACCCAACATGGGCGTGGGACAGATACCAGTGAGGGGTGCACTAAGGGCTCACCCAGATTTCTACATGGAAACACTTGTTTGTGTGCAGAGTATGAGTGTGCCATACTCAAACCTTGAGGCTCCAGCAGCATCTGCACTGTGGTGCTGTAAGTGCTAATGCCCTGGAAAGATAAATGCTCAATGCCTGTGATCCCTGCAGTTATCCTTATGAGGTGCATTGCCCGTCTGGCTCAGCCTCTTGCCGGCAAACAAGTAGTTAAGAACGCTCAACTTTAGACCAAAATCCCCAGCTTCACACTGTCTGACTCAGAGCTTTTTCCAAGCTTATAAATTTCAATCATTCATTTCACCCAGGAATTGACAGTGTGTTAGGGAAGTTATAAGACCAAATAAAGGGAGAAGAAAAAAATAAGAGCAGAAAACACCTGTCTTTGCAGCTGGTCACCAGGCAGACCTTTAATGTGCTGCCTGCTGGGAAACAGGGATGGTCTCATGTTACACTGAGGCTTCAGCAAAGGATGGAGTTTGCAGAAAGGAATCCTGCAACTAGAAGATGTGAGGCTTGGGTTTTAGCCAAAAACAATGGAGAGAAACATTAAATGAAAAGTTCCATAAGTTCAAACACATTCAACCACCAAACAACACACAGCTTTGTGGTTTGAAAGAATTTTAAAAAGAAATTTAAATCATCACTGCAGAGCTACCAGTTGTTTCTAATTTTGAAGAACAATCAGTATTTTACCCTTAACTACCACCAAATGCTTCCCAGAGTGACCATAGTCACCCATAAACAGACTGAATGTCTTCATTTAGGAAGAGCAGACCAAACCTGGTAAAAGCCAATATGCTACTTTGAAAATTGCTTTAGTGCCTGAAGCACTAATTTTCATCTTTCATAGGCTAAATCAACCCTAATAAGTGGCACCAGTTTTGCTTTAAGTCACATCCTTAGAAGCTCACTGACTACAATTGAGATGTCATTAAAGAAGAGTGATTCCAAAAGATTAGTAGAAAAATATACATAATAGTATTAAAGTAAACATTTAGAGGGTAAAATCTTAAGAATATAAATGTTGTAACAGAGAGCAGTAGAATACAATTTTAAAAAACCTAGAAGTTGGACTGAAAATCCATAGTTCTACTCCTGAAGTGAAGCAGTGTAAAAGTGAGGACAGGACTGCAAAGTACCTTAAAAAAATGATCAAAGCACTACATAACCAGGAACTAAAATACATATTAGAAGCCAAAATGCCCTTTTTCATATAGTCTCAATAATACTGACTGTGGTAAAGGGATAAAGGCATTAACAGGTGCTTAAAGAGCAGATCAGTAGTGACCTGCATTTTCAGCAGTGACCTCTAATTTCAGTTTCATAGCACAAGACAAAGAAGAATCTCTTTTTCTGTGGGATCTAAAATAGCTTAAACTCTACCTGATTTTGGTAGGAAATAAGAGGACAGTAACCTTCCCTGATAAGGAAGTAAGAAGGGGGTATATTGACTGCAAAATGTTGCTGAGAAAAGAACTGTTGGAATCACAATTTCAGGGACATAACATTCAGGATTGATGAAAGAGGTATTAAAATGCTACAGTATTTGAAAATTAACTTATTGAATGAAGCAGAGTTTGAAAAAGTAGTAAATATTTTAGAATCATATACAGCTACAGTTTATACTGGCCCTCCAAGGAAGGGGTGGGGGTTCACAATAACAAGGGTATTTGATTTGTTTTGGTTTTTTTTTTTTTTATCTTCTGGCAGATAACAAACCTTTGCAAAACAAAAAAATCTATAAATTGTATTTCAGCTCTTTGTTCTTCTAGGTTCATTACTAGAGATTTAATGATGTAAAATTCCTCTAATTTTATTATTCTATTAAACAAATGATAAATAAAAATTTCCTCTAGACATACACAGGGAGGGAAAAATCACCAAAATATTGAAAAAGGATCCAGGTTTTCAGTCAGTTGAAACATCCTTAATTGGCTGGCATGTTTTTCTGCACTTATTACAGTGAATGCTGCCATCTGTTTCTTACTTCAAAAGAAATAATCAAAACGATTAGCAAGCCAACAGAGAAGAAAGTCTTATCATGCATATAGAATATTTAAAAAAACAGTTTCCACTGGCTCCCTGTGGATTGAATATTTCTAGCTTTGACATGATGATTACTGGTAGAATAATATTCAACCATCTTCCATTTGTGATAATGGGACATGTAGAAACGAGATAATTTTGACTCCAGGTTTTCCATTTCCCAGTTTAGGATTTGCCCTGTAAGGATCCTGGGAAGTGTGTTTGTGGTGAGCCAGGCTGTGCTCTGGATCACAGTTTGGTGGCTGAAGATAATGAAAAGATTGCCAGTGTAAAATTCATCTTTAACAGCCCAAAGAGAAGCCTACAAACAACAAGCAAAGAGCAGGAAAGCACACACAATGTTAGGGCAAAGAAAAAGACACAAAAGAGACAGAATTCCCTTCCACTAGACTGGTAGCATATCATCAACAGTGCCCTCATCCCAGCTGATCAAATATACATCCTATGGGCTATTTTCTTAATTGTTAAGCATCATAATGAATTGCTGATATTTCTGCACTTCACCATTTAATTTCATCAACTGCTGATTAACCTGATGACAGTAAAATTCATGCTTGAAAAACCAGTAATGTTTTTACAGATACCTTGCCTATACATTCATTTAGGACATTCACTTCCTTGAGTGCTTTCAGATTATTCAGTCCATAATGGGAATGCTGTAAAAGCAAAATTCCCTTTCAACCTTCATGGCCACAATCTGAAAAGCCAGGAAAAGTGAGCTACAGCAAAGAGGATGTGCAATAAGCCATGGTAGCTGCTACAGTCAAGAAGTGACAATAGAATAAGTATGAAATACAGGAGAGGATTCACTCTCATGAAGCCTATTAGGTATGTTTCCACTCTATCAGTGCAGTGGAGAGTAGCAAGATTATAACTTCTCTCCATCCTGTTATTTTCCTATCTAACCAAAGGAATCCAAATCTGTGTCTGTCTGAGATTAGGAGAAATAAGAGCTTTTTACTCTCTGCCTTTCCCTCTGCTACAGGGAACAAAACCAATTTCCAACAATACTGCTCTTGTATCATCCTTTTTTTGCTTTGCTTCACAAGAAACTTTATTAATTCACTTTTATGCTTTGCTTTTTCTTCATGTCAATGACAGTACCAATAGTATTTCCTGATTTTACAACTGCCTGAGTAACAGAAGCATGAGACACACAGGCAGGACTGAGGCACACCCACCAGTGACCCCTGCCTTCACTCCTACCTGTAGACCACAGAAAGAAACAGGCAATTTTAGAAGGAATGGCATGCCAACATATTTTTTAATACAAAATGTCCAGGCTGTAGAGGCACCTACTCAGAGGTGAATACAGCAAGCAGGAAAAAATAACAGAAGACAACACGGACAGGAGCAGATGGCAATATAGGGAGGAGAAAACCCCAAAACAACAAACCAACCACAAAAACCAAGAGATGATTAACAAGTCATCCATGAACATTTGCTATCAGTACCTGTGAACCAACCACAAACCATAAATAAGAAAGAACATACAAACTTCAGACCAGAACAATAACCTTGTCTCATCTGATAAACGTGACTGGAGTTTGTGGTTTTCATCTACTTTCTTAGAAAAAACTAAAAAGCAATTTTTAAAAAAGGAAGGTATCCACACACAGTGTGGGAGGCAGGAGAATGGCCATGAGCTGATGTGATAGCTGCTGGCTCTTGAAAGGGAAATGGAAGAAGGCACAAGAACAGCAGCACTGACATCACAGAGGCAAAAGAGCCATCAGTGCTACAGCACTGGAGGGGTCTACTGTAGCCAGGGACTCAGCACAGTTCTCAGGCAGAGGGGCCTTTGGAAATGCAAGTAAGTTCAGGGGAAATATATGAGCCTTGAAAAAGGAAGTAAAAAATTACAGGAATTCAATCAGCTCCTCTGTGAGCATTGGTGCCTACTTCACAGGCTTGATTTGTTTGAGAGAACTCTGCGCTAGGATGTTTCTTAACCTTAAAAAAAAACAAAACAAAACACAAAAAAACCAAAATCAAACAAAACCATAGCTTGAAAGAAGGTATATTTTTCTTCTAGAAGTGTCACCATTCTCCTGCCAAGAGGGAACATTTAACCATTATCAACAGGCAGATCTGAAGCTGGACAGAGCTGCCTAAATCCACTTGTCACATATATGTCTACTCTGTTACCAGGACTGTTTTTTGACAAATGAATTGGAAACCAGCCTATTCATCCTGTATAATAAACAGCAAATGCTGGAGGGTATTTAACATGCAAAGGGCACACACCACAGATTGCCATGCTCACTGCATGACAGCCACTGAGGAAACTCATTGGACACAGACTCCACATTCCTCGTGGAAGGGAAGAAATGTCATTTAAGGTAATGTGTACAACTGGTCAAATCAGTGTTGACAAATACATTTGCTAACAACTTTAGCCCTTTTTCCAATTACCAGATGTTTGCAAACAGACTGCTGTGTTTGTTATTGCAACTGTAGGGCAGACAATTGAAGTGCCTGAGCCAAAGCCCCAAACTCTCATTGACTTCACTGGGCTACGGGAAAGGGCTGTAGATGAACAAACTTTATGCAAAGATTTTGTGAAATATTCACTTGGACTCCTTCCCACTTTTTATTTATGCTGTGTAATTCGTCATTCACCTCATACAGTTTTTTGGGTTTTTTTTCTTCCAGGCTACATATCTGAAATCTTTTAATTTAATAGCAAATAATTTTTACATCTGAATGAATAACCATATTCACACGAGACTAAAAAATTGTGAAGAGCAGTCACCATCCAAATGTTTGTGGCAGTCCAAGTATCCATGAGTGGCTGATACCAAAAGGCTGCAGTAAGCCTGGGATGAGCCATGGCAGCACTTCCCAGCAAAGTTTAAGTCCATTCATGAAGTTAGTGACGGATCATTATTCTGAAGCAGGAGCAGACTCAGAACAAACTGCACTGCCAGGTGATACACTCACTCAAGGCGAAATCACCAACTAATTTGTCCTTCTAAAAATAAAGAGGAACTCAAACAGGAATTAAACATATAGCTGCTTCATTTTTCAGGATCTGGAATTATATTGCCTGACTCTACAGGGGGAAGTAGTTGTCTTTATAATTCAGTCCTACTTTGTCTGGGTATTGTGAACAATAGTAATAACATATCTGTTTCAAAGTACTCCAGGAAAAATTCTTCAGAGGATTTACCATTTAATAGTGAGATTATGATACACTTACCATTACAGAATAACATCCTCTTTTTGTAATCCAATTGGATTTTAATAGCTTTGTTGGAAGACTTGTGAGATGTGTCAGGTACAGCAGGATATCGTAATCTGATCCTTAGCTTCTATTACGTGTGTTAAGCAGTGTGGATCATCTCAACTGAACATATCAGAAAGTTTCTCCTTGATATTCAGACATGTTTTTATATGTTCCTTTCCTCTTCATAGAGTAATTTTTGTCCACCATGGCCTTCTCTTATCAAATAGTGGGTGCTGAGCCTAGATTCTTCTAACCAAGTCATCATGAAGCAACCAATCTTTTTCATGGAGCACTGAACAGAATAAAGAAAATAAACTGCAGAATGCACAGAGCAGAATCACCACCTCCCAGTGCTACATGCATGTGGACATTTTGGACTACATCTTTTTTCCCCTGAAATTCCTTCTCTTGGAACTTGCCCAGTGCAGATCAAATATTCTGATTATTTATATGTTGTCTCTTGCACCCAAATCCCTTTTCAAGAAATATCCCCCCAAAGGCACTATAACAGCCCAGAAATTCATGAGTGATTGGCTGAAGCTCTGAGCAACAAGATGACAGCTTGTAGCATATCACCAAGATGTTTTCCATCTTTTGATTACCTTATTTATTTTCCAAGTATTGAATTATAATATTTACTACAAGGAGCATATAAACACAATAAAACCTGCCATCTTTTAACATAATAAAGAAGCTCAAGCTATATATGTGCCATTTAATTTACAATAATTTGTTCCTTCTTGATGCTGTATCCTGATAGCAGCAATTAATGAATGTGGAGAAGATAACATTGGTTTGAGTGCTCAATGTGACACACAAAAACATTACTGTAAATGATTCTAAAAGCTCATGAAAAAGGGAACTGGCAAATAACATAGGGTATGATGAGCTGAGCCAAGAATGTGATTTTGGACTGTTTCCATTGCGGTTTTCACTTCAGAGTAATTTGTATGATTTGGAACACCAGCAATATAACTCTGTGTAGGGATGGGTTATTTGAGGTAAGCTCTATGTTTTAAGGATGGGGTATTTTTATAGCCCTGGACCAAAAAATTAGGTCACATGCTACAGCTACCTAGAGCTAGGAAGACAGAGAATCCACTGTTTTTAATTCCTCACATTATCTTGTACGATACAGAGACATGTATTTTACTGTTCTTAAAATACATAGCTATTAATATGCTAATGCACAATGAGCAAAACAGCACAGCCTAAGAAAACATCCTTTTAGCAGAAATATTAACTTTTCAAATTCTTAAAGGCTACTTTTCACATTAAATTCCTCAAGAAATGCAGTGAAGTTGAAGCATAAGAGTGCAATATTTGAGACTTTAAAATTATTCTGGATTTTAATGCATTTCAAATTCATGTGACCGTGCAACCTCTTTAGTGCTAGATTTTTAGTGCTAGATTTTCTGTGATAGATTTTGAGCTAACTTTTAGAAAAAAGGTAATTTTTTTGAGCTGCTAAAAGTTAAAAGTTTCAGTTTGTGCATAAAAACACAGCAATGGTGGGCTCAACAGAGTACATAAAGACAGGACTACCATAATTTAACATATTTGGATGTGGACAATATTTTCTCTAGCACAGAACATATGTAAAAGATGAAAAAAACTTCAAATTAAAAAAAATCATTTGAAATCATTCACAAATTAAAATTTTATAGTGGAGCCTTTTAAAAACTTAGGTTCAGATCCCCCTTTGTAGTGAAGTTTCAATGGGAAAAGTGAAAATACCTAATTTACATCATTGAAAAATTATAAAATCAATATGTAGTGCCTGTTAAACTCTCATTGTACTACCTACTGCATTGCTTGAAAAGAATAAAACACTTCCGAGATTTCTATAGGACCAATCTAACATCAGTTCTGGAAATTATCTTCACTCACAGGGTGAGCTACAGAAATACTCATAAGGTCAATGTATTGAAACATCCTGATGTCCTTGGCCAGGAGTCATGTGAATAAAAATTTCTTTAAAATTGCAATTTTGTAGCATTGTAAAGGAAAATTTAAAGAATTATTGAACAGTACTAACTAAAAATCACTGACATTTAATAAACAAGGAATCTTATTATTTCTCCCTTCTTTTCTCAAAAAGGTTTTTGTTTATAAAACATCATACATCTTGGAGTCACCACATCATCTCCCTACATCTGGAGATGGGACCTAGGGCTGTGCTCTGGTCAAGCACAGCCTGAATCTGACCAGGACATCCCAAATCTGTGGTACTGCTGCAGAAGCAGTGGCTGCTTTGGCTAAATCTTGATAATCTGTCTGCACTGCATGGACATCCTCTCCAGAGCATTCCTCCGCATCATTTCACTCCTAAGATTAGTATCTTAGGACACTAATGACCATCAGGCAATTTCCCCTTGTTTCCTTTTATTTCTCACACATTTACTATTCATAATACTTTTCTCAAGTACTCAAACCTATTTTTGTTCAGGTTCCACAGTGAACATGCTCAGTTGTCTTCCATGTGCTGTTGTGGATCTCCACGACTGCCTCTGCTTTTTCTCATATCCACTGAGAGGGACTAAATGGGTGCTGGTCCAGAAAAGGATGTGTCATTATGGTGACAGGACACTTTTATTACCAGACACTTACTAAAGCTTGTTAAAGGTTTTATGAAGAGAAGAAAATCTGATTTTTACAGAGGCAAGTCAAAGTCTACTGGGAATAAAAGGGATTATGTTGTTCCAAAGGATGTTCAGTGAAACTGCCACAACTTTTGCTAGATGATTTTATCACCTTGATCTGGACTGCTCAACTGACACTTAAAGCTGGAGAGCTTCCTCTGGAAGATAAGCTTGGTGTCCTTTTAGAAAAATTATTGAAATTGTTTTTTATAGGGAAAGAAAGAGTTTGGCCAACAAAAAGGTCAGCTGACAAATTTTCTGCCCATGGAGCATTATCTAAGATAAATAAAAGCAACACAGTGAGACAAAGGCCAGAGCATGTGCTGTGCCAGGCACAGCAGCTTCCTTTATCCCTCCTGCCATGCAGCAATGCCACATGGTCAGCAGTCAGCACAGGAGACAGATCAAAGTCCTTGTAATCCTGTTAGGAGGCTCTTGATATGGCCTTAGACAACGGGAAATGAGATTTGTGGATAATCTCAGCTCATCTTCGCTGCAAATGCCTACAAGGAAAACATGACTGTAACCTGCCACATTTTACACACACAGAAGTCCCCTTGTCCCTTGCTCTTTTCTAGAATAACATAACTCAGGCAAGTGGAAATACAATGGTGATTTCTAGTTCACTGGATTTTTTTACAAGTACAATAGTACAAATAAATCCAGTTTTTCCCCCTGACTGACCCTGGTCGTGGGCTGTGCAGAGGTGGGCTACTAAACCAGAAAAACCACAATTCTGTTGTGATTAGAAACCTTTGGGATGTCAAAATGCAGCAACATACTTGCACCTCGGCTGTTCGACCTAAAGCTTTACACCAGTGGTTTTAATAGACCTTTCATTTACAAAGCTGGTGCAGGAGAGACCGGAAAATAAACCCAAACTGTCCAGAAATGGGCAGGACTGTGAAACAAAGCAGTACAAAAGAGGTGATGCTGCTTTCTCTTCATTTTATTTTCCCATGGAGCCAGTAAATAAGAAGAGAAAAGCAGAGGCTGAAAAAACCTGGACGAAAGAACCGATTCAGTAGGCAAGCTCTGATCTCCAGCATGTTCACTTAAAGTTCTGGTTTTTTAAGGAAAGTTGCCTTGTTCTTACATAACCTTCGACAGTTCGCTACAGCAGGGTAAGTGAGGGAACAAGATTAACAGATACAAGATATTTTTACTGCTTCACCCAAAGATTCACAGAATTTTCTGGGAATTTTAACACTTTTTCAAAACAATGTGTGATTCTTCATGTTGCTACCAGTGCTAGGAGAGACTTCTACATAGCCTCCAAGAGATTTGTACTGAGCAGTCTACGAAAATTATTTAACATCCTTCTTCAAACTAATAAATCTGCTAAATTTATTTTTTATAGGAACCAAAATTCTGTTATTAAATATACATGCAGTGTCACTGCCTTACCAAAGTGGAAATCATGAGGCTGCTACTCCTACCAACTGCTGTGTGTTACCATGAAGTTAGCCATGATAAATGCATTCTGAGTGAACTCTCAGGAAATATATTTGTGTCAATTAGCACAGATTGTGCGATCAAGGAGCAAGGTCAGTGAAGCATAATAAATGGAAGTCAATATCTGCCCTAAAATATGACATCTATTTATCTCAGTGCAATATCTTGGCTTCATTTACTGTATCCCTTCCTGCTTCCCTCCTTTTACTAAGTATATATTTTAAAAGAGACTGGTGTAAACAAAGCACATGACAATTTAAATGAATTTACATTACAATGCTGTTCCATCAGTAGGATTTGTTTGCCTCCCTGCTATGAAGATCCACTGCTGATATTTTTACCAGCAAGTCCCCCAGACAAACATTGACTTCAGGTCACAAAAGATCCACCACAGACACAAAATCCAGAATTATTTCCCCATATTCTGCACCTCCACCAAAGTAGAAGCTGAAGGTATGATCACATCTGAACAGTCAGAGGAAGCACCAGCTGTGCAAACACATGGCCCAGCCTGTGATAAAATCCTTTTTCCTTTCTACAACAGCTGCAACAAAGTCAGAGCTCCTTGAATACAGAAAATCTCTGTAATTTCTCCAGTGGCAGAAAACCAGTGAACAGCCCCATAACAAAAAGTACCCTGGGCTATTAGTTAGCCTGGGATTCAAGAACATCAGCATTTCTAAGTTTTCTGCCATGCAATAGGCACCAAAATCAGACCTTCAGCCACATCTCCTCAACAGCACTGAAGATCTGACACTGTCCTGCTCAGTGCTGGAACTTGAGCAGAGCTTTGCACCCAGGCAGGGGAGCAGGGCTCTGGGGGGGAATGGTCTCTGCAGATGGAGACAGCAAAGCTCCTGTGCAAATCTGCCAGCAATGCTCCCCCAGCCCGAGTTTAAGGCCAGAGCCTCTGCTCTCACTGCCTTTAGCAGGGCCAGGGCATTTGTACAAGCAGCTGAATCTGAGGGATGAAGGACGTGACCTTGAAGATGGGTCTTGGCATAGGAAGAACTTAGCCTTAGAGACAAGACCAAACTAAATGATAACATGTGAGTCCCAGATTTCTTCTGCTTTCAAGCC